ATGCTTTTTCTTGGTTTGTTTATTTTTCAGCCTTTTTCCTACCTGCAGAAAAACAGTAAAAATGGCACTGAGTTCACTTGGCTATTGGTCATTCCAAAAAAAGCTCCTAACCTCCAAGGCTCCACATATACCTTTATTCCTTCCTGCTGGCAGAAGAGTTGCAGCGCACTCCCATGGCTTTCAGGAAAGGTGGTTATATGAAGATTAAATGCTGGCGACCTTCGTTCTCTCTCCTGAGAAAAGATTTTGTTTGAAAACAATACAGGTGATTACATATAAATATGTATTTCCCTCTCTTACAAATCTCATACTTTTAGAACAAAAAAGCATGCTTTAAGGACTTGGGGTGTAGTTAAGCACAAAAATGATTCTGGCTTCCACAACTAACTGTGCACAAGCAGCTTCTGCAGATTTAACTGACACCTCCAGGTCCCAGAATCTTTGTATTTTGGCCAAGCAACTGGCTAGAGTCCTAGCAATTTCTTCACAACATTTTATTGTGAAATAGAATCTTATTTAACTATTTCTTTCTTTCCTGCAACAAGAGAAATTTCATACTCCATCAAATAATATTTTTGGTCCAGAATATGCACTTTCCACAATAAAATGGTATTACTACTTTCTTATTAAAATTGAAGCTTTGAATTTATTCCCTGTTCATTTTTCTACACTTAAACTTTATATTATAGTATGTGAAATCCCCAGTCCTATTCATTGCACAGCACAGGATTTAGAAATATGTTTGAAAGGCAGCATTACCCAAGATGTACAGTATTCTTCGTGTCAAAAGTAAAAAAAAAAAAAAAAATAAAGGCCTATTTATCTAAAACTACAGTATTCCTAAAATCTAGCCAAGAATACTGTAAAAAAAAACAAAAAAAAAAGGTGAGAGATACTGCATAAATTAAATTTCATTGTGCTCATCAAAATGACTGGATAGGAGGCTCTGAAAACTAAGGCACTTGGGAACACAAGTGAGCAAATGCAGATTTCCTCTCCATCTAGCAAGAGGGCAAACAAGAGCTTCAGTTTCTGGCAGCTTTTTTTTGAAAGAGCAAATAGCTTAGGGCTTAAATCCATCCACTTACTGTCTCGTTTTCTAAGCCAGAAAATGAGGTGCAAAATGAGGTACAGAGTAACTGGTGTTCGTTAACTAGCCTAAAACTAATCTGAAACTATAAAAATTAAAAATTCCTTCTTTTTTTTTTCCCCTTCATAGTATCTCTCTTAAATGGTATTCCCATGAACAATCTCATTTTAAAAGAGACTTAAGTGATGACCTACCTAATACAAAGCAAGAAGCCTAATTCTTGTCCAAATTCAGTGGCTATATTAGATGAAAAAAATCATTTTCTATTAAAAACACCTACATTTGTCTCTGTTAAAGGATACACAGATTACTTTATTACTCCAACCTAATTTTCATCTGAAAAAAAATTTAACTGTTCTGAACAAGAATGCTTCCATATTTATTAGAAACTTGTACAATTTACTAATGCATTCACACTGTCAGTCACATTTATGTTTTTACGATTGCCTACCAAAGCAGAAAAAATTCTTTTAGTGGAATCGCATTAAAATAGAACCATCGTTGTTCTCTAAAACAGGTCCTTAAAAAAAAAAATAGAGCGGAATTGGTGGACGTTTTGAACTTTTTTTTTCTTAAAAAAAAAAAAAAAGAAAGAAAGAAAATCCATCCAGTTTTACTTCTAAGAATACTTATGTTTTTGGAAGCAGATGCTAGGTTGACTGCTAAATTATTCAGTATTTTACTCTACAGTTGCTTAATAAATCATAAATAATATATATAAAAATTCTTCCTTAATTTCCTGAATGTCTACTGAAATTTTAATAACCCAAATCCATAACTTTGACTATGATGTGTTATGACATCAAAACATATGGTTGATAAAATAAATAATAAAAAAAGAAACAGATTAGGAAATGTGAAAGACAAAAAGCAGAAGGCCCACATAACAGGATGACATGACATCTTCACCTTTCCATAAGAGTTACACATGCCAAGTGTTTTGGTGAAATGTGCTGGATGATGAAAATTATGGAGGGGAGATATTTAGAGATTTTGTGGAGTTTATGCTAAGTGGTGTTAAGAATACTGATAATCTTTTAGCCTGAACCATACGATACCAGGCAAACCAAGAACACAACACTGTGTCACGCAGAAGTTTTTTAGTGTTGCTGGATTCTACCCAGGCTCCATGTAGAAAGAGGACCTTTGCTTTCTACTTCACTTGTTATGGTACATGTTCTTATTCTTATTCACAAAGAAATTCATTCACTTACTCAAATGACAGAATTTGATAAAATAAGCTTATGGGCAACACATTTCTTTCACTTGCCCAAGCTATATTTGTGCCTCATCAGTTTAACTTCTAAGTTCTCAGAGGGATTTTTTTCTTTTGTTGTAGGCCAAGTTATTTTCAATCCATTACCATTTTAGACCATCAGAAAATGGATTTCAGATAAGAATAGCAGAAACTGCTATTAAATTGAGTATTTTCTGGAGCATTTCATATTAATGCTGTCAATCTTAAATCAATGTAATTAAAAACAATTATATGTTGATGTGATGGATGTGTCAGACCTCTAGATTTCACTGCATGCAAGACATGAGAAGTGTTAATTGAAACAATGCCAACCAAGGCTGTATTATGCATACCAAGAGTGATTTTACATGCAGGGAAGAAGTAGTTATGGAAATGAAACAAATAAAAAAGGCAAAATATTGCAAAACAAAATATTTTATTAGATGAAAAACAAACTACTTGCAATATATATTAGCTATATTACATCTTCATAAACATTAGTGAGCACTCTCTCCAAAACATATTAAGGCAGTGGTATCAATTTCATTATGTCAAAATACAATATTTAAAAAATAGACAGCTAATAGATTTCCCTTAAACATGTGTGAAACATCAGTAAACGTTACAGGAATTTCAGCTTGGGTTCAAACATAATTTCTGCTCCATTTGAGAGTTTGCAACAGAGAGAATCTCTTACTTCAAGCTCTAGCACTCTGAATTCTAACAGCTCATTCTGGTCTTTTGCATCCTGCATCTCGTTCTTCAGCTGATTCTCTTCTTGTTCCATTTTGTAAATCTGTGGGACAAATGCAATGTCACAACAGCCAGTTAGCAATGAAAAATACCTTCTATTGAGTTTAGGGGCAGAGCTTTAAGCAAAGCTGCTATTTATTTCAGTTTATTATCAGATATTTCACCTTGCCTTGGGGAAAAAAATAGAATTTATCAGAAGATAACTTTTGCTTCACAAGTTGGCAAACTGGCTAAACAGAAAATGGGCAATGACTTCTTAGAATAATCATCTGGAAGTCAGTATGAAGACAGATATGAATGCATTTAAACAGAGTAAGCAATATAATTTTTCTTTTAAAAATCAGATGAACAAAACTAGACAAGAACAACATTTGGTTCGACTTTCTTCATTTATCCTTGCCTTCCCTTCCTTATTTATTTATTCTTAATAACTTAAAATTGCACACGTTCATAGAAGTGTCACTGTGCTGACAAATCTGTACACCACTGCTTCCAGATTGTTGAGGAAGTTTCATCTCCTTTCGTTTTAGGGGACTAACTACCTTGTTGAAAACCAAACAACAAACTCAGAGCCATCAGTGCAATATGCAACTATTTTGCTCAGTACAAAATGAACAAAGCAAAAAGCAATGTTTCTTTCCTAGGGTCTGCTGCATTCTTGCAAAAGGATGCCAGTTCCATATCCCTGCATTCGCTTTTTGCAGTAAATGAAGCAACATTATAACTTCAATTCTACTTTTTAATTTTTCAGTTAAGAATGACAACACAAAAGTTCAAAACCAGCTCTTTGTTATGCCAGCTTTCCTCTACTGGTGAGGTTAACCGGGGGATCTTTATTTATATGACAATAAACAGATATGTAGCACTTGGCATGCTGTTCTAGTGTTATAAAACCTGTGCACATGTCTAATAAAGTAAGTAAAGCTGTAGATAGTTTTAAGCCATGGATTTTTGTTTGGTTATTTTATTTCTATTGTATTAATATGGAATAGCTAATAGCAATTAATTATATTATTAATAATTACTAATAATAACAAACATAGCTCTATGACATCCTGAGTACTTGCAAACTCTCCCACCAGCATCAATGAAAAATAATCATACTTAGCTCTGTGAAATCACCAAACATCTCAGCCAATAAATGACTTTATAGTCTTAAAAAAACAATCAGTAATTACTTAATGTGATGTAAAAGTTTTGTAAAAATGGAAGGGTGAAATGAATAGGCAATTTTGTCAACTGAAGTGGTCCTCACAATATTTAGCTTTGTGTTATGGGCGAAATACCAAGTTTTTGCAGTAAAGGATTTTAAATTGCTTTTTGGCAGAAACAACAGCTAGCTTGGGTCCCACAGTGGGCTATACATAGTAAATTCCATAGTAAAAAGCAGTTCCCCCTGCCCAATAGTACAAAGGCAAATTTGTACTTAATCAGAGACTATCAGAACTTATGTTTCTGGACAGAAATTGGTATTGGTGGTCCAGTACTTAGCACATCCATTTCTTCTTGCAATTCCTTTTGTCATAAAGGGCCACAATTGTGAAAAGATTCCCCAGACTCGGAATACATACCTTTTCTAGCAACTCCTGATTTGTTCTGATAAGCAGTTGCTTTTCTTCTACCCATTTCGAATCCTACCGGAGGAGGAGAGGATTGAAAAGTATTCAGTTCTGTATATTTTGTCAAAGAACTACCACCACCAACTAACAACTAGAAGATTTTAGACATCACTGCATATTCAAGTATTAAAAGTGTCACATATCAAAGTCATCATAAATATTTCAACGATAAACAGTCTTCGAAACCAAGGAGAAAATAAAAGTTATTTCTTTCCTTGCAATAATGCCTCATATTCCTAATTCTGTACGCTAATTTAATATGTGTACATACAGCAGTTGTATAGAAAAGTTAATATAACAATGTTCATCCATGATATTTTATTTCACTTTTGTAACATTTGTTTATTCAAGTTAGCTTAATAACTATTCCAAACTATTTTTTTCAGTGCAAAGAGTTCACTACTTTTCACATCATCACATCTTGACCTACATAACTCGATTTTCTGTGAGGTAAGGTAAGAAACAATTACCAAAAGGGAGTGAGAACGGGCCTCAGTGATATGCACTTTATTGCCCTCTGCTCAAAGGACAAGTTGGTCCACACATTTGGTGTGGATTTGGAATTCAAGACCATGGGAGAAGGAAAGTGATTTTTGAATTCCAATTGAAATGAGATTTTATTCAATTCCAGTTGAAAACTCTGTGTTGTCATTTGATCACTTCCTGCAAAGCTGATTTTTGCTTTTAGCTCTTTCCATGGTTTCATAAGCTCTCTCATATCCCTGTAGTATCTCCCTAAAGATCAAATTTACGAAAACTCAGTGTTAGCTATAGCTGGACAATCAGATTTAAAGGATTGTGTTACCAAAAGTCACTCTCTTTTGTCTGTAGAGAAACTTATTTTGCTTTAAGAAGTTTATTAAGATAGTATAAAACAGTTACATGAGATAACTAGACCAAATGATTTTATAGATAAACTAGAAGAAAAAAATATTGAAATCCAAATGTTTTCAGAAGAGTATTTTGCTTTCTTTGTCAGCAATGGATGTCAGCCTACTGATATCCTACCAGAAATTAATGAAATTTGGATATCAAAATCCCTTAATTGGCTTTCAAATCTCAAACAAAAATAAAAAATCCAAAACATTTTAATATTTACTCTATTTAGCATTTTTTGCGAAGTTCAAAGTTGGAATTTTGACTGACTGTCCACTGTCGTTATCATATGATACTCATGATACTCTTCTTTCATCTTTTCCTATTCACATAGAGGAATGGGGAAGTGCATTTCAACTTCCATCTAGCAAACAAGTTCTTCGGGCTTATGAATAAAATTAAAATATTAAAAATAATGTACTGAGTACTTTGACATTACATTTGTCAGGAGTTTTTGAAATAAACCACAGAAACAATGACAATAAATTACAATATCTAGGTTTAACAAAATTAATTAGCATCTTACTAAATGTAAAGACTCATCATGGACTTTGCAATGCCTGCTCATAAGAGACATGTCCAGTTGTTATAGTAGAACCACAGGTTCAACTACTGCAGTTCACACCAGTGGAAAAAGATTGACTTAATTTGTCTTTCATGCCTTTCCTGACAAATTTGGCTGAAAGTCAACTTTCTAAGAAATTCCTCAATTCAGTGGAATTATATTTATATGTCTAGCATCTCACAGACAGTGCTGAGGCTTTCCAAAAATCTATCTGGAATATTGTATGTAAATATTCAGAAAATTATCTTTTATTATATTTTATAACAATTTCTTGATATAATACTCATCATGCAGGAACTATAAAACAGCTTGCAAAAATTGATTCTTAACCTTATTTTATATTTAGGGGAATTCTGACAGAGCTGATATTAATGAGAGCCACTGACATTTATTTTGAAATTGGACATTAATTTTAGGAGCCAGACTTTAAATGGTCTTTTAAGAGTGAGATTCTAATCTCCTGCTGAGCTTGACTTCAAGAAACTGTAAAGATTTTCGCTGCTTCATGTTGCCTTGCTGTAAAATGTGAATAAAAATGCTGGGATAATGCATTAGAATTGTTTGGTGCATTGTTTCCTTCTTTGAATTATTTCTGGGACTATCTCCCTGAATAAACATTTCACAAGCATTATTAAATCATCACCACCACCACTGAAATGGCAGAGAATAAATAGCAATTAAAAAAAATCACATAGTGCACAAAGAAGTCAGTTTATTATCACAACCATTTATTTTGTTGAATGGAAGTACTAAGAGGATAGGAGAAATGAGTGGGGGCTTGAGCTATCACGCAGACACCTTCACCATTTTCATGGAAGACTAAGGCTCAGGGTACAAACTAGCTCCTCAGAAACAATTATATTGTTCCCTGCCACATCTCTGTTTATCTTCTCAAGATTACTAAGAGATACAAGGTGGTAAATGTGATTAAGAATCTCATAAAGTAATAACTAATTAAAATCTAATTTCCAAGGATACCTTTGACATACCATCTGGAAACTAAAATCTTAACAAGTTCTTATATGTGTATACATGGTCACTTGTTCATCTACATAGTATTCACATTTTATATGCTTTCAGTCAATTATTTTGCTAATATGTTCAACTGCACAGCAATTGCCTATATCAACATATATTCTAAGATAACATAGATATCCACTTCTAGTAATATTTTGTTTACAAATAATTTACTAAGCAAATTGAAATCTGTGTGGAAGCTAGCATAAAACAAAACCCTCAATTTGAATGAAGTCCAAAAGACTTTGTACCCATACAGAATCTTACAGCAAGTTTATCATACAAAGAACAAACCATAAAAATAGTAATATCATTGACCTGGTATTACTCCTATAATTGAATTTATTTGGTGTTTCAGGATCATTAGTCTTTCTAATTTATATCTATAGACAGATATACCTTATTTTATTACCATATGCTAGCTGCAGTGTTTGAGTTATGTCAAACAGCAAAGAAAATATAAAACAGCTCCCAATTTTCTGAGCATGTTCTTGTTACTATGCAACTGAACATCTTTTAAATGCACTTTCAGCAGTCTTCCTGAAGATCCTAGATATTATTAAATATGTATGAGCGGCCACATTTTTATTAAGCATTTACCAGCTATACTGATGCGTAAGGCCTGATTTTACTCTGTGTGACAGCATGGAAATTGAAAAGCAGCTGAGTCCTCAGAGAATTTGAGCTCCAGAGGGCAACACTGGGTAGCACTGCACGTGGTCCCCAGTAACCAGGCACATTCAGCAGTTCATTTCTCTAGCTGAAAGTGGGTATGGAAGTTCCTCCCACCCCCTCCAATTTTTCTAGGCTTGGTACCAAAAACATTCTCCAGGGGAAATGTAGGGTATTAATCTTGTTGAAATTTATAGCAAAGACAAACAAAATAGGAGAAATGCCTGGAATTAATTACAATGGGAGTGGTATTTAGAAAACACATATGTGTGATTAGCATATTATGCTCTAGTGTATTATGTGTTAGAACATTAATCTTTAATGGCTTTTTTTTTCCCTAGGTAACCTAATATATTCCTTTATTTGAGCAATCCATGGCTGCAGTAGTAACTAAGCTCCATCAGTCACACTAACACACCAGCAAGCAATGAAGATAGCAAGGGCACCACTGCATGCAAGGGAGAAAATGATGTGGCAGAGGACATTAAGAGAGCCTGTTACCTGCCCTTTCTCTATTAGAGCTTTCTCCAGGTCCTCAATTTTTGCCTGGCACCTGAAGAGATCAGCTTGCAGTTGTTCACGAGTCTGGAAAAAAAATAAGATACAAAGCGTGCATATATGCATGTACATCTAGATAGACAAATATAACACACTCAAAATGAAAATAAGAACACTTCCCATCCACTACTGGGCCATTCAGTCACATTTTGATGCTTTTCATTAAAATAACTGCTATTGCATTTAACTCTCAGGATGTTTATACTCATCCGTTTAGCAGCATTTTCCTTCCTAGACTAAAAACGTTATCACCAGCACACATTCAGTGACAAAGCTCTCCCGGTGGGCAAAAGGAAAGGTCAGGAAAGCCAAAGAGGCTGAGGAAGATATTTGTAATCTTTTGTAACTCAAGGTAATTGGGGACAAAAGGGCAAAATAGACTTATAGTAAGCACTGAATAAATTCTTACCATTTAAACTATGATTTTTAAAAAGGCCTTTGTGTAAATAATAGATACTGATCCGAAACAATTAATTTATCCCATAAACAGCATACATCACTCAGTTTCCCCTCATTTTATTTGATTCCTAAACTATCAAGTAGGTATTGCCTCCTGGGGCCAGAAGAGGCTAAAAGGGTCTGGATCACACAAGGTACCAAAATAAGAAGTACCCCAAGGAAGTCTCTGGGGATGCTCAAATGTTGAGGCTGCCTGAGCTATGGCAAGGATTTCTGCCCCCTACTTCAGGGGCTCTTTCATCCAGGCAGTTCAGAAATTCCTCGAGACAGTTCCTTCTGCATCTTTGGCTTTTGTGCTTTACCCTAAATCTCATCCAATAGTAGCAGTAGATGTTAATTCCACCAGACCATTTGTCCCTACAAAACTAACACCACAAATCTACCTACTGGAAACCTTTGTCAAATTATGGATTTGTACGAATGTAACACACACACACAAAAAAAAGGGCAGAAATGCTATTAAAAAGAAAAACAACTATTCCAATATCTACTGAGAAAAAGTCCTGCAATTGCCTGCAAGATTAAAAAGAAAAATGACATTACTGAAAATATTCATACTAGTGCCTCTCTTCCCATAAGCACAAAAGAAAGTTTCATATAGCTGAAAAATACGTAAGTGATGTGAAATCTCACTTTAATAGTGAATGAAATTATTTTCCCCACACTTAAAAAAAAAATACCCTCCTTGAGACTGAGAAACAGTCATAATTATATGATATTGTTAGCTTTATAACAGGCCTAAAGAGTAGTAAAAATTAGCACCGCAATAAGAGGAAAGTAATTCCTCTTACTTCAACCAAAAGACTGCCATAAATGTTCTTTGGCCTTCCTATCCATTATCAAACATCAGAGTGAAACAAAAACATTCAAGTATCATGAAAGAAAAGAGCTAGCAGGTGAAAGCTGCAACCTGTGCCATTAGAGTGCCCACTTCTATCCCCAGGTCTGCAACGAGGCTGAGAAGTGATTCTCAAACCCTTACTCCTGCTGCTTACTCAGCTTTCTCACTTAGGAAGACAGCCTTTAATATGAGCAGATTTTTGTAAGACTACATAGGAAGTGCATCACAGCCACGCCCACACACAGGGGAAAAAAAAAAAGTTCATTTGATAACAAAAAACAAATTATGATTTGAAAAACAAGAAGCTCCACTTGAACACAAGAAAACACTTCTTTACTGTGAGGCTGGCTGAATTTTGGAACAGGCTGCTCATAGAGGTTGTGGAGTTTCCATCCCTGGAGATGCTCAAAAAATGACCGCATGTGGCCCTGGACAACTCTTACAGGTGACCCTGCTTGAGCAGAGGGGCTTGGACTAGATGATGTCCAGAGGTCTCTCTCAACTCCAAATACCTTGTGATTTCATAGTCTGTACAAAACTTTTAAAGATAAATTCTTCCCACATCAGATATGCATCATATTTCTAATACACTCTTATAACAAAAGCACCTTTTACAGCCTATTTCCTGGTTCATGTTAAATTCATCATGTTACTATCCAAAGTGCAATTTTGCTGGGGTGTTTTTCTCTGTAAGAGCTTCTTATTTCTCAAATCAATTGTGCATATCAGAATGAAACATATCATCTTTGTTCTGATCACACCAGCTGTATGTAAGTAGTTGCCTTACTGATAACAGTCTCTAATCCTGAGGAGAAACACTGTAATGAGATTAGTGTTTTGGATTTTACTGACCTTCCAAGACATTTCCTGCTATTGGGATTTTTTTTTCAGCTTTTTCAACTATTTCCGAACTAAAAATCATTTTCAATCAAAAATTACCCTTGCTTCTCTCTCCGCATCCAGGGTTCCACCAACTTGTTCTTGAAGCAACGCATATGCTCTTTGCAAAGCTTGATACTCTCTCGTTAGCTGGCAAAACCTGAGTTCAGCTTCTTCTTTAGGTGTGCTCTTAATGAAGAGGGGGAAAAAAGTGGTTTTGTGTGTGCAAAGAAAAAAATACACTTAATGTGTATTTATGTACAGACATAGTACACACACAACACACAAAAAACATACCAAGTTGCAAAGTTCAATAAAGGTTTAAAAATGGCAACACACAAATAGCAGAAAGATTATTTCAAGTTGAGACAGAAATGCAGAGATTAATAACTGTATCTATAATTTCAAGACACTATAAGTTAATATATAAGGCATCAACGGATAGGAAGGGCAAAGAACTGTAAGGGGAAAGGTGAGGTAGAATCGCTCTGTGCATCACTTCCCTCAGCAACTCTGGTGCTAAAGCTCAGAAGGGTCCTGCTTGCCGTACAGTACACGACTTCCTTGCACTTTGTGTTTACTGTGCCACAATAAAATGATCTTACCAGCACCAAGCACACAAAGACAGAAGTTATGGGTTAAAAGTCATAAGATGGCCTTTTTATTATTTTATTTTATTTTATTTTTAATTCTGAAGTCATTTTGGTATATTAGCTTGCTTCGGATTTTTGAACAATTGCCATGCACAGTTTCAAGGTCTTTCTTACAATCCTGAGGGCAAGAAATTTTCCTCCTTTGATTAATTTTTGCTCCAGGAACTCAAACTCCAAGGAAAAAGAGATTATAATACTGTTAGATATTAAACCTAACAAAAGAGGAAGCCTTTATAAACAAGATAATTAGAAAAAATTTCAAAGGATACTTTTGGCCAAAAGTAGGGATGAAAAGTTCCAGCTGAAGTGTAAGAGGCAGAAGTCACCAAACAAAAAAAGAAAGATAAAAAATGGTCTAATTCATGCTTGTCCTCAACACTGCAAGTAGGCCAGCTGCACTCTGTAATGCACAGTCCAGACAAAACATGTCACTGGGTATTTACTACCTATGATCATTTAAGCCTAATGATTTGCAAAAGCCTTTCTCGATATCGTTCAGCACAGTGAGAAAATCCTGGCTGCAGCAAAATAGTCAAATAAATTATAAGGTTCTAAGACAAACTATTGTGTAAATAACTATTTACTCTTGGCAAAGCAACCTGCCAATTTATTTTCTCCTTCTGACTACCTAAAAAAAGACTGGAGAAAAACAATTTTATTTCTCAACCCAATATCCTGCCAAATTTGTAAGGCTGAATGCCTATTCATTAATTCTACTGCCATGAATGTGTATTTGTTCTTGGGCTTGAAACAAAACCAAGCAACTCTGACAAGTCTCTTTGAGTTTCTGTGGCAGAATAGCTGAAAAATTGTGCTCCATTTTTATTCCATGTTGTTTTTTGTAAAAGATAAGAGCTGGTACTTACATCATCCAAATCTTCTTCTGGTGTTGCTGGTGTTCTGTCTGTTTTATCTGTATTATATGATGTTACAGATGATGTTTCTGAATCCATGGATTCTTCATCAAATCCAAAAAATGTCTCCACAACATGCCTCTGAAAAGTCAGTTTTTCTTAGTTACTAGGAAAACAGAAAAACTCAGCAACCTGGTTAACAATTGGGGCCTCTCTGATCATTGCTTTAGTTTTATTTCTTCAATATCTGAGTTCATAACCACAGGGATATAGGAGCTCCATCTGAGACACTTTCCTAACTCCAATTACCTCACTGTGCTCATTCACGTAAGAACTGTGAGATTTGTTCATTATCCCACAATGAGGGAGGCTGGCAAGTCAACCCTTCATAGAATGGGGTTGCGGAAGAAAAAGAAGGTTTCTTTATGCAACCTTATTCTCCAAATCTCAGTGAATTACTTACATTTTTCAAAATAGCCTGCTTGCAATCTGGGGATTTCTTCTGGCATTCACGTTTTGCACCACTCTGTCCTGCAAACTGAGTACTCCTTGTATCCAACAGCAAAATGCCAAGTATATTGGGATTTGAAACTAGGGCTAAGCAAACTGCTACTCTCAAGAAAGGCTGCAAGACTAACAAACCTGCAATCCCTTTTGCTGGGTCGTCTCATCAGGAAGTATTAGCAGCAGCTTAGAGAGCTATGAAATGGTTGATCCTGCTTATTCCTTTCATTTCAAGGCTACTTGGCCTCCCAAGGATGACAATCACGTTTGAGCAAAGCTCAACCACAACTTGCAGTAAAATATTGGCTTGGGCACTAAAAAAATGACTAGGAGGCAATACGCTGTTTCAAGGAGTGAAACACAACATTACAGAAGTGTTTTTGATTTTATATAAATGTATAGAGGTTTTGAAAAATATTTCACAATGCTGTCATTTTGACAAATGATATTAGCTATATTTAAATATTTCACCTGCAACAAAGCCTAAGGAAAATTAACGTACCTAATTTAATACATAACACATGCAATTATGCAGGGAATTATGTAAGAAAAGTAGTGTTTCCCGTAACACTGAAAAAATCAAAAGCTTCAAGGAGTGTCAAAAGTAAAAAAAAATACCATTGAATACTATTATCGTTACTTTTAAATGAAGACTAAAAGAATAGTAATGTCAGTTGCTGGAAAAAAAACCACTGATTTAAATATAACTTGCACTGATTATTGCCATATAGTCAATAGCAAATTTTTTTTCAAAAATAAAACTTACATCAATTAAAACTTACATCAATTCTTTCACATAGTTTCAAAGTAAAAATATGTGTTCAGTTTTTACAACTAAGGTATTAAGACTTCTATTGAAGTCCTAATAAATATAGATTGAGAATATTATAAACAAATAGTGATAAACACTCATATTTTTTAATATGTTTAAATCAGATTTGTCTTATTTTCAAATAATTAATCAAACATGATGAAACTGAACCAACATGTTCAGTGAATTACAACAGGGAATTCAACAGAATTTCCCTGTAATGCCATTATATTAACTAACCTGCAACTTCTTACCTTTGTGCTTATATGTCATTTCTTGGCAGCCAGAAAAATACAGGCACACCAATACACAGAGACAGATAAAAAAAGAAAAACATAAACCAAGAAATATGAACTCCATCACACCACTGTGCAGACTTGCCACTATCACAAATACAGCTTGTTTATTAAATTTCACATAAAGAAGTAAATCTTCAGAGTCCTGCAATTTCTAAACAAAATGGGCAATTATGTAATTCCATTCTATGGATGTGAGGAAAAAAAAGTCCAGAGTTCTTCGATCATCTCACTATCAAAATTTCTAAGCAGCTGAGCAAGCGTGCTGTGAGGAGCAAAACATGCACCTCCGGTACATCCTTCATCCAACAAATCCAGTGCCACCTTATCAGAGAAATGAACTCTCTGCTGGCTGAGGCAGCTCAAAGGAAAATCCAACAGTCTTGAATGCATCCAGTGAGTCCCTCACTGCCCTAAACACCTCATATTCACAGCTATGGGGCTCCTTCCCTCCGAGAAAGCTGAGCTGGTTGCCAGCATCTCCTAAGGACCAATACGTCCCCTGGTATTTAAGCGTGCTCTGTTAAACACTGCACTAGCAACAGTAACCTAGCACACTTGCATTGCTATAGAAATAACAGAGATACCTGATTGCAAACGATAATTAAACTCTGGGTATTTTCAAAAGCCTTTCAGCTGAACTACATGCTGTTGCCACAGCAGGAGTATGCTGTCGTTTCTACTCTAGCTAACAGGAACCTCTGTCAGGAAAATATTGACAGGAAAACAATGAAGAATGAGCAAACACAGTGCACTAAAATTAAGGAAGTAGGAAAATAAACATACCTGTTCAGGAAAAGCTACAACGGCACATTAATGCCACACCGATTGCATTAATTAAAGGCCGCACAGGTGCAAGACAATGGCCAATTGTCACTAATAGTCTAGGTGTCATGAGAGGCAACAAGTAGCAGGAGTTATGTTTGTTACTCAATATTTGCTTCTTTTTGACACACATCTATGTACCATAAGAAGGAAATCCTGAACACTTCAGTGGCTTATAAGCACAATTCTTGCAATAATTTTGCAAAAGTGCCCCAACTGCAGCACTTTTATCGTGTGGAAAATGGACTATCATAGATTTTTCAGTGGAATCACAGGCATTTGCTAAAGCCCTCATGTTGTTCCATTCTTCTTTTGGTCAACAAGGAATGGAGGAAGTAAGAAAGAAGTATTATGAAAGCAGCATTTCTCTCAAGATAAACTAGGCAATAGGGAAAGGAATGGAATCTGATCCAACTGAAGGCCTAATACAGAAAATTTAAGGCAGAAATGAGTAAATCTGGATTTTTTTTTAACTTATAAAAGTTAGCATCACTAGTTATAATCTCCTATGAAAAAGAAGATTAATTGGATTTTTCATCAAAATCTCTAATTCATAAAAAGATCTTACACAATTAATTTCGAATAGGATGAGAACTAGTAATTAGAGGCAATTTCTATAAAAATTAGGGCATAGGATCAAATACATATACATACACACATTTTTTTTAGTCCTGTTTTTAATTCTGCCCATGATACAGAAGCATACTATAGCAGAGAATGGTTCATATTTACTGCAAACAGATTTGACCTCCAACAGTCTTTCACTATGCAAAAGAAAACATTGTAGTACGAAGACATAAAAATGGCAAAGACATGTATCAGAAGAACCAGTTGAAGACATTACCGCTGAATAAGAGGACCAAAAAGTACAAATATTTCAGGATACAAATATTGTGAAATACAAAGTAATAAAAAAGCACCACCTGGAGGTCACCAGTAGTATAGGAGGCAAGACACACAAGCAAGTGTCATTTCCATTTAGGACACAATGTAGTTTAAGCTACCATATACTTGAATATTCTCTCCACACTGAAACAAAACTTTTCCTTTTCTGACTTTTAAATTTTCTCTCATACTTAAAATTACTTTAAAGGACTTTTAATTTATTTATTTATTCTTCCCTCTCCTCTTAAGGCCTTTTGGTCCTTTGAAACATTAGTTGTTTCAAGTCATTATACCACCTAGGCCTCAAATCATTTGAATATTTAAGCCATGATGACGAAAAATATCATTAGATCTAAAAAAAAACAATAATAGTAAAAAACCTTTTGTGTGTTGCACAAAACTGTAGGTCCTAAATGTTAATAAACACTCAGCAGACACAGGAGCAGGCTAATAGAGGTTTTACCATTTATGTATGTAGACCTCTAATTTCAGGCAATGTTTGCAAACGCCCTTTTCACAGTAATCCAAATGTACAAAAACCAACGACTCACCTTTGGAGGTTTGAGACTTTTCCTCCTCTGCTTTTTAGACCGTATCAACCGTTCCCTTTCCTAGAAGGGAAGGGAACATTTTGGTTTGGGTTTCTTTTAAAAGGTATATTTAGATATATGTAGCACAAAGGAATCTCATTGAAGTTTTCTTAAAGCCTGAGGTAAAACTAACACCCATAGAGCATCTTTATCCATTGAGATAGCAGCATGCAGGCGTACCGGCCCGCCACACTGCACTGCATCCCGACAGCAAACACATCATCAGACAGGTACTTCACCACCTTGCTGGACAGCAGCAAGGAAAGGCTCTGCTAAATATCGGGCACGGATTTCTGCCAGTCCTTTCAATCCTTTTACTGCGAAGCTCACTATGGAAACCCAGGTAATGTCCTCATGCCAGTGGCTGTCTTGTCTGAAGCAGCAGGCAGGTAGGCAAAACCGTGTCCAGCTCATGTCATGATGCACGACTGGGCCGTGCATATGCACACATGGTGCTACACGGTATCTACTGGGTGATTCGCAAATCCAAAGTCACTTTCACATCTAAGGAACTTGGGTCTATGTTTAAGCTAGCAGGTCAAGTGCAAGATCACAATTAATTATATCATAATCTCAGAGCGTTATAACTGGAAAAAGCAGGGTTTGTACACAACCAGCCCAAGAATAGTGCCTTCAATTTCAAAAGATTACAAATGCTAAGAAATGAAAGGGAAAGGCAAGGTCAGCTGTTTTCCTGCTTTTTTCTCGATTCTTTCCTTAGCTCTGCATGCTTGTTCGCAACACATCTGTTTTAAAAAGAATGTTAGAAACTTTCTTTGCTTCTCTGGCAGTTTCTCGCTGCCTGGTGTGATTCTTTATGCTGCTGGAATTGGCAGCTCAGAGCTATTCGCTGTACATTCAGTTCAGAAACTCAGTAAATCAGAAGCTCTCCATGGAAATCACAATAAAACAATTCATCTCTATTGGCACATTACTCCTGAAAAGAATTTGTCTGAAAATACAAAATCATTCAGAAAGGCACAATAATTTGCATGTGGTTTTCAAAGTAAGGTACTGACTACCAAGCTAGAATGGAACAGGTTATTTCATGTTGCACAAAAATAGAATAAACTAAAGGTGAAGCAAAACTTCTAGACTTGTAGACAGTAGAGCAAAATCACTCCTCAGGATCCTAGTTAAGATACAGTTTCTCCTTTAACCTATGTCTCTTGCATCCTAAGCAAGTGTCCAAATGATTAAGGAAAATAACCAGTCTTGCTTCATCACTTGCTTCATCCAATGCAGAATGAACTATGCTTTCAGAACCTTCCATTCCTTCCTTTTTTCTAATCTTCCTTCTAAGAAGACGTCTTAATTTATTACCTGCCTCAACAAAACATTAAGCTACTGGGACAATATTAATGCCAAGTAAAAATAAAAAATAAAATAAAATTTGTTGAATCACTAGCATCTTTTTCAAGCAGCTGAGTGTATCTGGACAATTTTTCAAGAACTGACCAGGATTTTACTGTTATGGGTGAACTCAAGTTGATACAGTCTCAACAGCATCAAAGATATCCTACAAACAAACAAAAACACAAAAACCAAAACCTAAAATTCAGACAACGCTATTGCCTAACTCCCTGATTCTTATTTCTGTGCATCACATTAGTCTTAGCTGTAGGTAAGCTGGCAACTTCTCTATTAATAAGGTACGTGACATGTGGGTCATTATTTATTTATGATACATTTTTATTCTCTGGAAATGTGATTTGAGCCAGAGAAGACAGTTAACAAGTACCATGGAAGTACAAAGGATCCCACTGCAATCTCATCAAAGGCCAAGCATTTAACATTTCAACTTCTTTTCTACCTATGAGGTGTTATCTTTAAATAAGAAACAGAAAAAAACTCCAACAAAATAAAAACACTTTAAAAAGCCTGTTTCTTTTACTTGCAGGCTAAACATGAATATATATGAGTTGACCTAAGTTAGGACACAATGTATTTGCTCAGAATACTGGATGAAAGATGAAACAAAAATAAATAAAGTGCATATTTCTCTCCATTTGCTATAAAGAGGTAGCTTAGCAGGCTCAGAGATGCTTACAGTTAGGTGAAATTAATTCCAACCTGCTTATCTTTTTCTTAGAGGAGAATTTCTAATCAGGGGAGTGGCTGGGTCTACATCACAGGCTACATCAGACATGTTTCAGTTGTTAAGATGGGGAATGTGTCCTTTCCTCTAACTTCTTCAGCTGTGGACAGGCAATTCTGGATGTGGATAGACTGATACATCTCTTCTCAGAAGCAGCATTTAATAGGGAAGTATTTTATAATGCATACAGATGCCAAAGAAACTCATTCACTACTAGTGAAATAGCAAGAACTTTTCAATGCTGAAGAGTTATTTCTATATCACTACCACAACTTGAATGAAATGTTCCTCTAAAATCGTTAATTTGCCTATAGATGCATGTGGCTGCACATGCTCCTAGGCATGAGAAATATTACCACTGTGAGATCGTCAATAACATGCTGCTGTTCTTTGACTTGCAGTCTGAGGAACTCAATTTCTTGCTCTTCCCGTGTGCTGCTAAGATCATTCAGAGACGTGTGCCTCTTCAACACTGGCTGTGCAGATAACTTCTCTTTCTACAAAAAATAAAATCCATTCTTAAAATACAAATAATATTTTAAAGTATCTTGACATAACACTAGCACTCATCAATGCAATATGTTAATCAAGAATTCTTCAGATTCATCAGCGCTACCACCACATTGGGCCTCTTTTCCCCCAGTCTGACATTGCACCATCCATATGCATTTGTGCCATTATCTCAGAAGATGTTTTAAAACAGAATTTGAGAGTGTGGTCTGGAAGAACACTAACCTGATGGACAAGTGATCTAACACAGCAGGGCCTTTGGCACATGTATTCAAAATGTATTCAAATGCAGTTTTGACTTTTATTCAGAAAAGCAGCATTTGCTAAGGCTGAGTTTGAGTGCTACATTCTTATAACTTCCAAACACATTTTACCTATCTGTGATCTTTTCCCTTAATCAGTGTGAACTGATACAACACCAAGCACATAGAAGTTAAGCCACTTTGAATTTAGAATATGAAACAGCTGTGTTTGGCTGAATTTAACAGTGATAACATCCCATGGCTCACACTCTGAAAAGTTGGTATTGTGTATATGGAAATGTATGTATACAAGGGCCTCACAAGCTCAGTGCTACTGCGGGCAAGATGAAGAGACCTCAGAGACAGTTACTTACCAATTCTACATTTTCCCTTGTCAGATTTTTAATTTTTTCTTCCATTCTCTGGATACATTGCAACATATCGTCATTTTTTTTGCTCATCCTCTTATTTTTTTCTACCAAAGGCTTCAGCTGACTTTCTGTCTCCCGTGAACGTTTCAGCTGCAAATGCAAGAAACAAACTTAGCTGTGCTTTGCTTAGCTGAATAAACTTCAGCTGTGCTGAAAGAAGAAATATGTGGGATTTCTCTTGCCTTTCCCTTCATTTAGAAAATTTACTACTTCCATTAAATGGCATCTGATATAGACAAGTGCTGAACTAAGAACTACAGGAGTTCAAAACAGTGTTTTTGGAAAGACTCCAAAATTACTCAATCTGGTCACTGGATTTTGCTCTTGAAAACACTTATAATGATATCTCTGAAAGCATTTCCTTGATAAATTAATCCTGTTTTAGATAGGTCTCCTGGGTACAAGATAGTCACCTTTCTTCCTCTTAGCTATCCCCTTGTAGAACACTGTTCTTCCATTACTTAAAATCCTTAAACCTTGTGTGTAATTAGAGTTAGCCAGAGGGCACAGATTGAATCTCAGCATTCTGATGACATTTTCAAGCTGCTCAATTTTGTTCCTGTGGTTTTATGATGGCAGACAATTTTGGGAAGAAAATCATTGCCCTTTCTCCCATTTGTGCATATTCAACATTTTACTCCATCTCATTAATCTTTGAGCTGTTTTGAATGAAGGAAAAAAAAAAAAAGAGGGGGGGGCATTTTTTTTCAAAATGAAAGATTTTATAATATACTGAGTTTTAGCTGGTAAAGAGATTATCTTTTTCCTATTTTCATTGCGTAGTTGGCTGTCTGTTTCATTCTAAAAAAATCATTTTTCATAGTGTGTCATCACAGAAATGTATTGATATTATTGGGTTTATCTACCTGTCTCCCCAAATGACAAAACCTCCTTCATATCTTTTCCAAAATATATTTCTAGGGTCTTCAAATCAAGCATACAGAAGAGTTTGACTGCCCTCCATCTACAGCGATGCTGAAGGATTGACGTTGCAATACTTCAGCATTCAACGCTTAAGCATTCTTCAGGGATATATTGACTGGTCATAACCACATAAAGGATTAGGATACTGAAATTCTTCACACAAAGGAATCTTGAAAACAAGGAAGATGTTCTCGAGTAGAAAGCAAAGAAAAGCAGCAGCCCAAGTAAAAGTGGAGAGAGACACTCAGCAACTGTGAAGTACTGTGAAGTAGTAGCTAACTGTATCCAGGCTATAAAGCATGCTCCTCTTATCCCAATAAACTTAATTAATGAGGAATCAGTATCATCTTATAAAAGACCAGTTAATGCCACAGAAAATTAAAGAGAAAAAGTTTAAAGACAAAAAGACACAATTTTGTTCTCAAATCACTTAATTTCACTCTAGTACTGTCCAATTAATTTCACTAATGTAGATTAAGACAAGTTTTGGACAAGAAACTTCAAAAATCATCTCCTTTGACGATCAGCTCAAGATGCCACAAGTAAATTAAGTCTTTGTATCACACTGTACAAAGGTATTCCAACCTCAGAATGGATAGCTAGGTCTGACAAAGCAAGAAAGAAGGTGTGAATGCTTGACTCAAACCATACAACTGAAATATTGCATCTGTGCCTTCTCCTTCTGCCTTCAGCAGATCTAATAGCATTACATTAGAATCAAATATATAGGTTGCATGATGAAAGAGTTTCAGGTTGCATGATGAAAGAGTTTCATCTAATTAGAATGAATAAGCCTTTCAGAAGTAGGACACTATAAGAGTACAAATAATACAGTATAATATAATAATGCTTACCAAAATTCTCACTGCTACAACTCACCTCCCATTGAGAGTCAATGGGAATTTTACCGCTGACCTCAGTAGAAGCAATTAAGTAGTTATGTATGCTAATAAAAATCATTCTTAAAATTCTTCTCATAACCATCTTTTTGTAAGTTACTATCACACTTTTAGGACAATTTCACCTACTTAAGAGGTTCCCCTTGAGATGCAGGGTGGCACATTTCTCATATTCAGCACAAGAAAGCTTTTTAACTCCTAGTTAGCATAAAGCATGTCTTGAAACTAATGCCAAATTCCACTATCTCAAAGATAAATACAGTAAATTGTGTGCTGAGATTATGCACGTCTTATACAACATCATCACATTGTGCTACAGGCCAGGTACTAGTTAATGTGATATCTCCTTTGATGACTCCAAAACAAGTTTATAGAGTTATATTTCTCTGGGACAGCAGAGATTGCACTTATGCTCCTTAATATCATGAAAAAAAATAATAAAAAGAAAGAGAGAGAGAGCGTGCACAAAATTCTTTATCTTTAGGAATAATTGATTGTGGCCCACCAGGATTAACATGTGAATTATTTATAACACCGACTTTCCAACATTAAATCTTTTACCATAAAGATGCCCTTCCAGACACCATCTGCTTTATTGCTAATTAATTTACCAGCTCATTTCTTTCATCTGCTAAAAGAGTATTTCTGTCTTCCAGCTTCCTTATTACAGCATTCAGTTCAGCGATTTTTAACTGAAATCTCCGCATATCTCTTTCATCCAAATGCTGCTCCTTCAAATCAAAAACACACAAATATATTAAGTTATTTAAAAAAAAAAACAATATCGAGAAATAGAATCATGGCAGGGCAGGCGGATTGTGTGAATCTAAAATAGATTCTTACATAAATTCCTGGAAAACTTATTCTAACCAACTGAAACGTTAAAGAGAAATATCCTGTTAAAGAACTACATGATATCTTATACAAAAACTCTCTCCTTGCCAAACATCCATGAAGATTTAACAGTTTTGGTGGGGAGGAGTGGGGGAAGGAAAGCTTGATATATAAATAATATTTCAGTTATTACTAGTAATTTTCCACCAGCTGTCTTAGTCTCAAGTAGAATGAAGCTAGCACTTAGATTAAATCCACATGGCACTGTTTTTCTTGAAAAGTACAATCTCTATTTGTCATTCTTTAAAATAATAAGTTATAAAATAAATAATTGTATGAACGGAATTAGCATCCTTCTACAAACGACAAACAAGGAAAAGACCTTTATAATCATAAAAAAAATAGTAAGCTCAAGGCTGAATCGTCCAACGTAAATACTTGAAACATAATCACTAGAGCAAAGGGACCACAGGGGCAGCGATGGCCACGGGTTGAGCGCTTGAAGCAAAGGTGGTTTTTCTTACCGGGCTGCCCATGAGCTCCGAAATGTCCCCCAGGCCGGCGGGCAGCTCCCTCTTGGGGCTGCTGTGGTACCGCTCTGCCTCCTTCACCTGCACCAGCTGCTCGTCCAAGGCCTCTTTCTGGAGCAGCAGCTTTTGCGTATGGCCTGCTTGGACACCAAGGTCTTTTTCCAGAGCCAGAATTACTCTGTCTTTGCCTTTGATCTCATCCATCTGGAAAGAAACAACACGAGAAAGAAGTCGCCACGACATCCCCGAGTGTTTGCTGTGTGCATAGCCAGAAATCTGTAGGAGCAAAGTTGTGTTTCTCTCGGAAGCACACAGGCAGCCACGCTGTGGTGGCTAAAGAGCAGTTAGAATCCCCTGAAGCCCTTTCCCCTCCCCTTGGAAAAGCTTCAGCCTTCACCTGACCATTAGGGCTTGCTCTGTGACATCTCAGCTCAAGACACAAACAAAAATAGATCCGAACACAGACTGAAATGGGATACAGAGCTGCACCCTTATCTGAGGATGCAAACACTCCTGCGAGCAGCAGAGGCATCTCCCTTCACTACTTTGCAGAGAAGGGACACAAGACATGACAGATACAGCTTTTAAAACCCACCTAAGCTTTGATTTTGAGGCTTCAGCACTACACCTCAGCCCCATGCCGACTCCCTCTTCTTTAAGGAATTTCACACACAGTGAAACCTTTCACAGATATTTTTAAATTAATGCCATGCATATGGAGACATAATTAAACTATTAAACCTATGTAAATATTTTTTATGCTTTTGTTATAAGACTCAAATGCCGACTAGTCTTTGTGCGACAGTAAAAAGGGAGGAAAATGCACGGAGACTCAGAATAAGTTGTCCAAAGGAATAGCATCCACAGCTACCGAACGGTACTGTTCCGACAGCCCAGTACCACATACAGCAGCCTGCTAGCAGGGACCTAGCGCAGCCCTCCCAAGGTTTGTCCTTCACAGCACTGGTACTACTGCAAGTGCTAAAAGAAGTGACAATTTGCAGTAGTTACTATAGAAACCAATTTCTTAATAAGACTGCTAACCATTAACAGTATATTTATTGCAACTGTGCTGTATCTCCTCCAGTTTACCGAATCACTTTCTCAACCAATATAAACCCATGCAATCACGGTCTTGAAAAAAATCATGAGGTTATTAAATCATATGCATACTGCAGATTTTTAAAAACCCTTTTCCTGTAAAATTCCTGCTTTTCTACATTAAGAACTTAAGGAAGGGAATGTCAAAAATTTACTTCTGATCTACAGTTAATCTGTGTAACCGTCAGATTTGACAGCATGCTTAATTACATGATTAGATACAACTCATTTCATCCTGAGCTGACTCCTTCCACAGGTTACAAAGCCTGTGAATTTAGCTGGGGGGCAGAGTCTGAATGGCAGCAGGTGTCTCACAAAACCAAGTCAAGCCATGATCCAGGTTAAAAAGGAAGACCTGAAGGGAATAACTTGGCCTGGACTACTTTTAAGTTACAACTATTAGTCCTGATGCAGATTTCTTGCCTAATTTAAGTAGTTTTCTGGGTCTCATTTAACTAGTAAACTGGTATATTAATTTCCAGTAGACTAACTCAGACCTGTGCTACTTTCAAGCATGCCAAAAATTATGTAACTAAATACTGTGAACAAAGTTTGGCTTTCAGTTACACAGATGTTCAGACAGAAATAAGTGGAACAGCACCCATGTAACAGAGTGGGCTGTGGCCACGCAATGCTTAACGAGGAAGAGGTACTGTCACAGAACTGGTCCTGACCTTAGATACTTAGTTTGCACTAAATTTCATATTTTTTCATGTTGAAAGCAATAATTTCAGCTGGCATGCTGCTTGGAGAACTGCAACAAAATACATCTTTTGAAATAGATATCATCAGTGGAGCCAGGCCTATGTCTCCTCAATCATAATTCCTTTTTGGTTTTTACTACTTTTTCTTTCCACCCTACAGACTACATACAGTGACATTTCGGGGAAAAAAAAAATCCATGTTTTAGACAAATAGAAAAGAAAATCTTTGGGACAGTGACAAGAATTGAAACAGCAATATATTATCAATGCCTGGGCACTCTTGTTTTAAGGTTTATATTTTATATTACAGGCACATGCTAGAGAATCTCTTACTCATACAAAAACATGCTCAGAGCATTGCAATAGGAACTTGTTTCATTATTAGCATAAAGCAGCAGAAAAAGGAATTACTAGAGCAATTTTGTTCAACTAATTTAATATAAACTGATAAAGGTGAATAGAACAGCAGCAGCAATAATGTATCTAAGTGAAATTCTGCTTTAGAAGCTGAGAATGACAACACAATTCCGCTTTCCTCAGGATGACCGTTTCATCTTTGATTTCTCCAGCATAACTAAATTAACCCAGCCATTGCCTCACTTAAAAAAATAAAAATAAAAAATTACCTCCAGTCCCTGACCCAAAGCTTTACTATTTTTTTTCTGACTTGCACAATATAAAGCAAATATATTCATCTTGACTATCTGCTTTCCTGACAGACACTACAAACTACTCCAAAGAGAAAAATGTAAACAGAGATGCAGCATCGCTCAGTTCCACATGGGTCAGATGTCAGATCAAGAGGCAGGGAGGCAAAGCGAGAGAAGGTGCAAGACAAGGAAGGAGGGAGATGACATCGGTTTAAACTGAAGCAAACAGAGCAAAGGAAGGTTTGTCACTCAGCTTAACTTGGTGCACTAACTGCAGTTAGAAGTACACACACCGTCACCGTGCCAGTTCGGCACCCCTGCAGAACTACTCTTTCCTTGGAGATGTCCTGCCAGATTTGGTTACACAAAACACGTAAGTTGGCATTATAGAACAGAAGAGCCTTATGCAATTAGGCTGTGTATTATAATATTTCCATTTCCATCTGGGAGTATCTTCCATCAGGGAAATGGAAACCAAAGTGGATTAGTCTTCATTCCCTGCTGGTTACTATTTTGATCAAATACATGGTTTTAGTAGCAACTGTGGCATAGCAGTGATGATCTATGGATTTCAGAGAAGCATGGTCTGAAACAGAAGCAATATATCTCATTAGACTAAGTGACATAACTTACATAAATAAGCTTTCAGGTAACAAAAGCCCTTCAGGAGATTAAGAAGCTATACGTTTAAAAGTTTGTCAAGTTTTTCTATCTAAGTAGGCTTGCTTTCCCAGCTTGCTTTGTCTAATTATATATTTACAAATTAGTACGAAGTGAAATAACAATCAGTGCTCCCCTCATGACCTCTCAATTTTGTTTAACCCTTTATTCTAGTACTGCAGTGTTCATTCACTAGGAGGGATGTAGAATTCACTACATTAAAATGAACAGCAGTCCTTGTTTTTTCTCTGAGGTTTTTTACATCACTCGAGATTCATCCCAGACTGCTCATCGTTCACAGACACAAAACGATTATCACCTTTAATTTTGTTCTCTTCCCAGGTCTGATTTGATTATGTATAAAAATGCTTTCTGCTATCACCTTTAAGGGCCAAATATACAGGTAGACTTTTCATCCAATTTCTTATGTCTCAGTCATTGCTACATTCTCCTTTCCAACTTTAGCAATATGCTTGTCCTGGCTGTTTCCATCCATTCAGAAAACTCTTAATGGTGTTCTCTTCAATCACAAAAATCTTATTTCTTCATTCTCTAAACTGATTTTCTTTCATTAAATTAAGCAAATAATTCATTCTCACTTCCAAGGATATTTACAGCCTAACCACCATCCATCTATTCCTTATCTTTTACCAGGGTTCCTTTTCCAATCCTCATTGCCAACTCATTGCATTTTTGGTCAAGCATTTTCATGTTTTACCTCATGCCACTCTTCTTGCTTGGAGGAACTGTAAACAGATACCCACCTAGTTACCTGACTAATCTTCCTCAATCACCTTCTTAATCTCTCTCTTCACTTGACACCTCTAAAATGCAAAAGGAAACCATTAAAAAGACTGTCAATCTTTAATGGTAATGAGCTGTTGAGACCACAGTCTATTCTCCAGTTGTCTAGCAGTGTATCTAAGTTAACATCCCTCAGAACCTAAGCCATGGAGAGGCACATTGCCATCTCTTTGCAATCTCTTTACTACAAGCAATGCAGATATTAGAATGGCAGTACTTGAAGCTAATACACCTGGATGGATCAACTCTCACCTGACTCACAACCTGACTGAGCAAGTAGGTGCTTTTCCTCTGTGCTCCTCAACTCCTCGTGCTCTGGGGAGCATGGTGCAAGACTTGCCACACCAGGTGCCTACAGGAGGGCTCTGCATCTGTGGCACAATTAATCCACAACCGAGATAAGCGACAGGTGGTTACTGCACTGATCTTACACTAGAGCTTTCTTGCATTCCTCCACATACCACTATCCATTTGCTCCCTCTCACCAAGGTCCAAATAGTGAGAGACAATCTTTTCATCCAATATACTTAATACAGTGAGATCTTATTCCATGAATCCAGGCCTTGCGCTCATATATTACATTAAAATCTAGCCCAGAAATTCCTTCCACCTGCCTATTTTGGTCCCAAACTTTTTTTCAGCTTAAACCAAATTTGTCCCCGTTTTCAGCTGCACAGTGCAAAAGGGGTGAAGGGAACTCTTTGTCATTCATTTTTGCTTGTATTTAAAGCATTTTAGAATTCCTTATAAAATCAAGCATGGTACAGTTTAGTACAAATGGTTTGTACTAAAGGTGGTGAACCTTTAGTTCAAGGAGGGTTAAAATTCATTTTCAGTAAGCATGCTTTTAGAAGAGATGTAATGTAAATATCCTAAAGCATTTTAGAATTCCTTATAAAATGAAGCATGATACTAAAGGTGGTGAACTAATACAGGGTTAAAACTCATTTTCAGTAAACATGCTTTCAGAAGAGATGTAATGTAAATATCTTCCAAAAGAGGATTGTAAAGAAAATAAGGTCATCCACCAGCAGCTTCAGAGGCAAAACACTGACAAATCACCTTGAATAGCAAGAGTAACTCTTGTGTTTTTGGTTAAAATTACAGCTTTCTGGAGCATCAGTTCTTAATTAATCGATTTTGTGCCATCAAATGTTAGGTGCTGAACACAGCAATTACCTGCATTATACCAGCAAAGAGTTAACGTTTACAGCCTGTGCCAAAATTACAGTTTAAGAACACGTATCTAACAGCCTTCTAACAAACAGTCATGAGGAAAAAAAAAAAAAGGCAGAAATAAGTGTTTTAATAATACTTATTAAACACAAAAGAAACACAAGCCAACCATCAGAACAAGTATCCCCTGCCAACTATCCCGCACTTCAATAACTATCACACAAGGAAGTCAGAGACCTCTGGGGGAACTTTAGCCTCTCACAAAGTTGAAAGAGAAGTTCCCAGGGATTTAGAAGCTAGATGTCTGAAGGCAGTGACATACTCAGTTTTCCAAGTGGAAAAAGCCAGCTGCTGCACTGCCAAGCATAAGATCTTCCTCTTTACCCATTCCTATCTCCTAGCCAACTGCTGAACAAAATTTTACACTGCTCTTCTCCAGAAGAAACTGACTTGATCCCAAGATATACTAAATGGTTGCTAGTGAAAATAAGGATATTTTGACAGGAGAACTGCTAGTTACTACAGGAGAAAAAAAAAAAAAAAAGGCACAGAGACAAGGCTAATTTAACAGTTAAAAAGGAGCTAAATGGTATTACTGTGTTTTATATGAACCAAGATATTTATATTAACCAAGTATTCCATGCTGAAAGCCCACCCAAAGCAGGGATACACATACATACTCCATGAGACTGATTCACCTCTTTAATTAAATGTTTGCTGCTTATTTAACCCAAAGTTTAGGAGAAAGGGTAAAAGAAGCCAGCCAACCCAGTGGCAAATAAGGGTTATATATGCTTTCTTCCATCCATATGCATCATTTTCCTCCAATATCTTTTCCCACTTTTTTCTCTTCCCCCCTTCCCGTGCAGTTTATTAGGTTGAACTACATTTCTTCAGGTACCCCATTACGTATATTTAGAAAACACAAAACAGAGAAAGGGTTCTGAATTTCGAAAGGCTTTTTACATCAAGCAGCTAGTTCATCTGTACTAAGACAACTAAAGACATTTAAAATCGTCTAGCTAACTTCACAAATGATAACTGATCAGGATTGCTCCTGGAAGGGAGTCATTTTTCACTTTGATTCCATTAATAACATGAAGATTGATTCCCTAACAGTATGAATCTGAAAAGATTCTTATCAGTCTTTGGTAAATCTTGTAAGATTATTTGAGCATACAATTGAAATAGACCCGAGAGCAATGGAATCCTTTGCACTGATTTTTTTGGAGCATGAAAACTAACACCATCTTTCAATTCACTTCAAGACATCTAGGAAGCTTTAGGAGGATATGTTGAAAGTTTTTAACAAGGTCATATAGGATCTGTGACAAATGAAAGGCTTTTTGTTAAAGATTCTTCCAGGAAAAAGAAAATATATTATTCACTAAAACTCCACTGCACAAATTGCAAAATCCATTGTGACTCATTTATTCAATTTGTTCCACAGTTTAAATATCATTATATTACTAGTAGCTGACAAAATAAATGCTCGGCTTCCTAAATTGTATTGTAAATGACTAAAGTGACAATGTAATTCAATATACATTTAATGATTCTTTCTTGCATTATTTTCCAAAGTCCTGTAGAGTCCATTGCTCATACTTCTTCTGCAAAAAAGCAGAAAAAATGCCAAGCAGCAGCCTGTTAAGAACTCTATTCACATACCCCTGTAATGAATGAAACTTCTAACAATACTATTATCGTTATGTTGAATATATCATCCGTGCCCTCTTGCACAGCTATGCTGCTAACAGAATAAGGTTGATGTGCTGTCTTCCATGTGAATACACTATGTTGGCTGATTTAAGGCAAGAGAGGCAAACTTTACCTTCCACTGGGAACTTTTGATTTGAACGCTGATTTTACTAAGCTAAGGCATTTTAATAAAAACTTTAACTGAGGTCCAAGAAAAGTTGGCCAAAATATTTGGGGTGGGCAGGGGGGTTAACATTTAAATTGAGTAAAATTTTAAAAAAAGAATTTAAAAAAATACAAAATTAAATACTTCTATAGCAGGTCAGTTCTGCTCTTTAAGCTAGTTAATAAGCAAAACTTCCCTATACCATTAAAGGTTGGACTAAGTTTATCTTGTATCAGCCCTAAGCTCAGGGGATGGGATGAACTACTTAGAAGCACACGTTAAAACAGAAGTCCCTTGATGCAGTGATTTCCATACATATCTGCTTGCCTAGCAGCTCTCAGCAAAACACCTGCTTCAGGGCAGGTCATATTAGGGTTTCATGAATGAAAAAGTACAATTATGATAGCACATAATCTGAGCCAGAGAAATGAACTTGTTTTTTTTTTCCTTCAAGAAGGATATATTCCAGCACAGTTTTTTTTTTGTTCTATTTTTATTTATTTATATTTAACTTTGATTGTTTGAACTTGTATCAGCACAATTCTTTTACTAAGCTTACAGAGCAACACAACAGGAAACCACTGGAAAAAATATTGAAAAAGCAATTGTACTGCTAATTCAAGTTCTCTCTTCACTTTTAAATTGTCTCATTTCATTTTAACCTCCAGTTACTAGTTAATTTTACCTTCATTTTCCCTAGTTGGCAGCACATTGTGCCCACGTATATATTTAACTTAATTTATAGCACTATTACAGAAAGTCTCACAAATTTACAAATTGCCATGTACTTTCATACTATATACAGTTTTTTTATACACTGGAAAAAAATTATATTACTTCTCCTTACTAGACACTACTAGATTGTCCTCATTTATCTTGTATGAAGAAGGCTCATTGGGTATTTATCATAACTCAATCCAAAACTAAAGAAAAAAGTAGCAGATTGTATTGTTTAGAAACTAACATTTTTAGGGCATGGAATAGGTGTTTTTTTTTTTCCCTTTTTCTTTTCTTTTTGACTGAAAGCCAGGCAAAACCAAGACTTGGCTCAGTCAAGGGTATTAAAAACCAACATTAAAAAATATCAGCTTTTTTTTTTTTTTTTTTTTTTTTTTAAAAGTGAAATTTACCATATTTTAAAAAAAAAAAAAAAAATTCTGTTTTTTTTTTTTTTTTTTTTTTTTTTTTTAAAGCTGCAATGTAACCTATATTAAAAAAAAATCCAAAAGAATCATCTGTGACCTAAAAATACAAGACAAACCTGGCAAGACAATCAGAGACTGAATCCCATAATACACTCACTGAATTGCAGTTACAGTATGGCCTGCCCACTTTAGACTATTAAGACCAAATATGCTTTTCTCTTAATGTTGCCATAAAGTACAGCTGGCCCCCTCCTTTAAAAGGGCACTTACTGAAGCTCAGCTTCAGTATAGAACTGTCCTAATATCAATAATAATGCTTGCACAAGAGCAGAAACTGAGCAAATACCCCGAATCTGCAGTTGATTGCCCTCAATTTCAAATTAAGGGTAGCTTTCCTTTTCACAATTAAAGTGAGGGAGGATGGACACATACTAATTCCATAACCTGATCCAATTACATTATCCCAAGTTTCCAGAGGAAGACACAGGTATCTAGGAATTCTGCATTATTTTTTACCTCTCCCCGAAATTAAAGGCTGCAACACATGGTAACAACCATGTGGTAACAATTGTTTAGAGATTTGTTTGTAATGAATTCCAAGAAACAATACTTATTTTCCATAAAAACAATGCATATAGTTTCATGACAAAATTGAAATTCATTAGCTGAAAGACAATAAATACTGGAAGTAAAACACAGGTGTGTTTACTGCATAGCAGCTGATGATGACAGAGTTCAGGGCACAGAGCTATGTGTTTCACTTCACTATTTCTCAGGCTTTGGAAAATTAAATGCAACTAGAAACTATCTAGGAAAAAAAAAAAGGCCAAAATGTAGGCAACCATCTCTTCTTTTTAATAGTTTTAAAACAACTTTTACTTTATAGCCATGATTTTAAGATTATAAATTCATAATATGGAACAAAGTATTTAAAAAAATTGTGCTCACAAAAATTTTTCATTCCTCATTTCTGCAGTTGTCTGTAATCAAGAAAACGATGCCTCCTGAGAGCTGATCAATACCCAATTTATTTCAAGCACAAATATTAACTGCAATAAAAGCTTTCATTGCCTCAGACAAATCACCACCACAAAACAGTCATTATCTTTTTTGCAGCTTGGCCTCACCATCATTTTTCCTAAGGGATACAAAAAAAATAACAACATATGTCTATGAACACGAACTGGTAAAATATTTTTGCTTAAGAAAGTTGATATTTTAAAGTCCAGCCTTCTTGATGTGAGGTAAATATTTTATATACTTTAATAATTTTGGACTGTATTTGCAAAACCAAAGCTTGGCACACACATGGGAGGCATCATAGTATCAAACAGTTCTTTGATGATAAACTACTGTAAATGTATTACAAAGCACAGTCCATCTTACAGATTCTTCATATTTTACAAAGTTGCAGAGTTTAAAATACTAAGGGCATCCCTTGACAGGAAATACTGCCTGTTTTTCTATTCTGTACAAGCAAAGCAGTTTGTCATCTGTACTGAAGTCCTATGAACCATGGAGCAGCCTACTACCCAAGGGTGGAAGAGTTCAGGCCTAAAGAGTCACAACCAAAGAAATTTTATAAAAACAGAAAAAAATGACAACGATCCTTAAAACTGAATGACCTGGACAAGGTTTCAGAAGGTGCAGAGACATGAACTGGGATCAGTAGATGGGTTTCCCAAATAAAAACATAAGATCTCTCAAAAAATTTAGTTTCCCCATCTCACAAATGTGCATCTCCTTGCAAAACAGCCAATACCTGACTTCTCTGACCAAGGCGACCTTATATGGAAATATAGGCCAAGCAAGAAGGAAGAGGAAGGCAAATTTATTTTTTATTTAAGAAAATAAATGCTCATGCTGGAAAATTTTGGTTCATTCATACTCTATTTGATGGGGTGCAGAGCTATGGATTGGGTTGTTGCTCCATTTGCGGTTCTGTGCTATAACGAAGAGGAAACTGTGACCAATGGCACCAGCCAGCAGTAATACAAGATGCTACTGCAAAACAGGTCTGACACTTGTTTGTGGGCAAATACAGTAATAATTTGACTGCTGCTGTAAAGTGAAATACATATTGCTTAATACAATCTTACCAGCCTGCGGAACTCCCTCTCACATTCACGCTTTATTCTGTTAATCTCCTCCTGATGAGACTGATAAGCAGTGCGCAGGTCAGCGGCCTTCATTTTATCTGCCTGCATAATGTTGTTCAAGGCTTCCTCGAGCTGCTTTTTGCCAGACTTCAGCTCCAAGACCTCCTGCTGCAGCTTGAGGCGCTCGCCATCGAAGGCTTTCCGAGCCTCCTCCTTGGCCTCACTCAGCAGCGCCGTTTTCACCTTGTCGGCCGCCCCGTCCCGCAGGACGTTCACTGTTGACTGCAAGCGCTGGATTTCACCGTCCTTGATTTTGGCCATCCGTGCAACCTCCTGCTCGTGCTGCCGGATGAGGAGCTCTCGGACACCCTGGAGCTCCTTCATCTTCTCTTCGTGGAGCTTGGCCTTCAGCTCGGACACGTAGGCCGTGTGTTTGTGTTGTTCCTGCTCCCGCTCCTGCTTCACCTCCTGGATTTTCTCCCTCAGTTTGCCTACCTGCAACATCAATACAAAGAACTGATTAACCATTGTCACCACACCTTTAAAAGGTCAACATAGGCACCTTTTCCAGATTATTTTTTAAAACTCTTTCTCAAAAGCAAAAATGGTACACTCAATAGTAAGCAGCTAAAGATCTTATGCTGAAAACAGGCCTTGTGTGTGTGTTTGAGGGACTCCTATGGACATGAGCTATTGGCAAGAGCTGCTCATTTTTAGAGGAAAAAGAAAAAAGGAAAGGAAAAATGTGCAGAATCCAATCTACTTCCCCTCTCCCTACCAAGTGTCCTCCTTCTCACCTTACTCTCACTGTTCCCTGCAAGTTAATGGAGAAAAGAATCACCTGGGAAGGAAAAGTATTTGCGTTTATCCTGAGAAGGAAGTGCTAGAAAATTTTATTTGAAGGACCTTGCTTCAAGCATGCTTGTGAGTCTTAGATCTTCACACCTACTGATTTATTCCTACAATATCCTTGTGCAGATAAGAAGCACCATCACCATTTTGCTGATGGAAGGCTCGGGCAGGCACCAAGTGACTTCCCTGATTAGCACATGCTGCCTTTTCCCGAGCAGGGGTCTGTCTTGAATTCCTGCATGCCAAGTCCCTCCTCCACCTGTGATGCTTCCTGCTAATCAGGTGAGAAAAAAATCCCCTCAATAAATGCGGCTCCTTATCAGTAGGAACACAGGGGACAAAAGCTAAATTAAAACAAAGATATTGATTTTAATATCTTAGCTACTTTAATGTGAAAGTATTTACTGGAGAAGCACCAGGATTGGCCTTCTCAAAAACAAAGTTACTCAAGAGGCCACATACCGGACATCCTAAACTGGTGTTCAAAATCACTTTCATAAAAAAAGGTTGGCCAGTGATTCAAAGGGTGATGAAGGTGGAGGGGAAGAGGAAGGCTCTTATAGCCTATTACAGGAATACCCACTGTGATGAAACCTCATTATAAAGCAACGCTCAGCAGGCTGCATGAGGAGCGATGCTTTTTTCAAGTAGCATTAGACATTCATCCATTCAGGAAAAAAAAAAAAAAAAAAAGCCAGAGAAAGGCTTGCTTCTCTGTCACAGTTTATTGGCAAAGCTATAATTTATTTAATTATGCTTGATATCAGGAACATTTTCATACTATGCCCCACCACAGCAGCTACCAAAACACGGGCTCTGCACATGATCCTCTGATCTAAAGCGGTCATAGACAAGCAGAGATTTCAAAGGCTTGTGCTTTAACCTTGACTGGCAACGCAGACTTACACAGCACATAGGGTGCTTCATGGCTAGCTGAGGTTAATGAGCAGCAGGTTGTTATCCGCTATCACATATGCCTAAAAGACTAAGTTAACTTAGGCTGGGAAATATAGTCACATGATGCATTTAATTTATGGTAAACATATCCAGAATTGCAGATTGTCAAATATTTTAGCACAACAATGAGCTCCATTAATATTCAACTAACATTTAGGATGAAGGCATAATTAATGACTATTTTTTTCCATGGTTCTGAATTCTACGAGTCGACACAAAGGGTTGATTAAAAACAATCATCCTCATTTAGAAAAGGCTCAGAAAACACTATTACTTTGTTTATTGAAAGGAGTTTCAATTTACATAGACATTTGCATGTTTGTTTTTGGGAAGACAGAGCATCTTAACCAAAAAGCCTCTGATACAAGCGGTAAGTGAATCCAAGGTTACTAGTGAACTTGAGTTACCTTAAAATGAGATCAACATGTTATTCATCAAACCCATAGCATTGACTGTAGGATTCCTAGCATTCCAACTCCACCTCAAGCAAGAACAGAATTTCATCATGTAGGAGGTTTTATGACATATTTTAACAGTAACTTTGAGAATCAATCAATGAAAATATAATTTGAACATCTGTAAAGAGAAGAGGGAAATACCAACATTTTCATGAAGGTAGTCTTCTAGATATACTGTGGACAGTACTCCTACTGCTGCAGAAAATATATTTTTTCTGAATCAGACATGCTCAGAACTAGATTTTACTTCACAGGTACTGCTACCATAATCCAGGATGATCCAGATACTTCTTTTACATAAAGAAAGATTTTTCTTTCTCCTTACAAGTATTGTCAGGTTGTAACAGAAAGTACCAAGATGACTTGTCATATATCTTATCCCGTACAATTCTTCCTTTCTCCATCTCTTGAGTTTTTCTGGGCAGGAAAGAGGAGCTGCTTTTGGAGGACCCCTTCCACTTTGACTGGAGAAAGAAACTACTGTTTCCTTTCTAGGCATCATCCTAGAAAGGACCTTTCTGAGGTCAAGATGTTCAGCTGAGCATCTGAACACTAATAGGCTAGGCCACTTAGAAAAGTCTTTATAAAAAGGTATTTTACTACACATTGAAACTATAGATATCACCTTTCATTCAAGCAGCTTTGTTCATCCGACCTTTTCTAAGAGGATGACTTTAGAGGGGAGGGAAAAAAAAAAAAAGAGAGAGAGCAAGAGAGAAAGAAAGGATCATCTTCACAATTTCTGCATAAAAGTGGATTCACATTAGGGATCCACTTTAGAAGGAACCCTAAGAGATTCATCCAGGACAATCATTTGGAATGGAGATGGAGCCCAAGAACAAGGACAAATGACAAGCAGCCCCAAGAGCTAAGGTTCTGAGAGGCACTAAACATTGCTCACCCAGGGAAGCTGAAGGCTGAAGAGAAGTAGCAGCAGTAGTCCTCTTATTTTCTCCTCACTCCCCTTTTTTATTTTTTAAAGCATGAACTCTCTTGGTCTCTATATCACAAAGCACTCAGTCTTGAGGGCCTGGATAAGGCCCTCAGTCTTGAGGCCTGCTACTGTGCTGGGGACCTGACTTTCCTATTTGGAAGTGACATGACATGCTTCATCTTGTAGCAGAAACAAGAGAAAATTACTGCTCAGCAGGCTGCTCCCAGAATACAAAAGAAGATTAAAATCCTCAGCAAGAAAGATAAATAACTATTTGAACTGAGTAGGATGTCATAGGATTGTTGAATTGTCCATCAACTGGATTGTAAGAACTCTATGTTAAAACACACAAAAATTAAAACTATTCTGAGGGAAGACATTCTAAATATCCATACATTTATCACATGAGAACCTTTGTGTGGAGCAAACTTTTAAGCATAGATTTTTCAAGACTGAGAAAGATGGTGACAGCTTTCTGGACAATTTGGAGGCTTAACCTTTTTTCGGAGACTGGCTGCTTCAGTTCATAGCCTAGGAATTCTCCCAGCTTCTTTCCCAACTACATTATCATATTGCATCTTCTGAAAGCAACAGCTTTTATCACTTCCAATTGCCTAAGTCTCCAACTCATTCTGCCTTGATTCTGCTTTTCACAAACCACTTCTCCAAACCTCTGTCTCTAATAACAGCCTACCCAAGGCAGAGCAGCAGTCAGGGATGACCCCCCGTTGACAGGCTCCATTGGTTTCTTTGATGGAATGTGCACTGCTTACTTGCTCACCAGCAGTCTGCTGACTCTTGCCAGGTACTTTTCCTTCCTGCTTACTTCTTTTATCTACTTGATTTTTTTTCCCCTCATCATTTTCTTCATAGCAACAAATCTCTTGTATTCTCTCTTCATTCTGTCCACATTCATAAATATCCTCCTCTTATATGTCCATTTCCAGCAACAAATGAATCTTACTAAGAAAAAGAAACCAAGTCCACATATCTATTGCATTTTTTCTCGCCTCAAGCATTTCCACTTTTGATAATCTTTTAAATGAAACTGTCAAGATTATGCGATAGTATCAAAAGATCACAGAAAACGCATTTCTGCTAATAGCTGAAAATATGAAATGTATATCTTTTCCTTATGCTACACCAGAATCTCCTAGAAACTTCTGAAACCTCCAGTGCTTCTCCTCTTGTTCCACATAAGAACAGCTTAGTAGATAATTTGAGTCTAACTACAAAGGCACTACTAGAGTTCTGAGTTTTCCTAAAAATCACGTTGTAACATCGACTTTATTTAGCACTTCTTGCTCTGTCTACATCTTCCAACATGGTACCAGCTAAAAAGTTTGAGATAATTTCTTGCCGATTCTTGCAAATGTAGGTTTCTCATAGTGTAATATCAGTCCACTGATGTTTCATTCCACCCTGCTGTTTTACCCAGACTAGAAGTTACATTATCACACTCAGCATTTTCAGTCATTTACCAATTTTGAATTTGTCATTGTAATATTTACTCTTACTAACTTGGTTAATTATTGTCCAATTTTTGACCTAAATTTTTCTTTTTAGTGATTTGCCTATGTATTGAGAATTTAAACTGATAACCCTTCAGTTGCCTTTGTAAAACAACCTACCCAAAGGCAAGGGCATCTTTCTAATTGCAGTAAGTAACTACAACAATATATATAGTAGTAACTATAGTTTTTCATCTACTTTCAATATTTCATCCACTTAGTTCCTAGATGATCATCACATTTTTCCCAATTACAGAAAGGAGAACTGAGGGAGACACACAACTTTTTGCTCCACTCTCATTAAACCTGTCCGGGACATCAGCCAGCACAAGATGAATGAGTGCAAACATTCAAATGCCAGAGGCCAAAACCACCAACCGCAAGACCTGTAGTAACGTGTGTCCCAAAACCAGCACGCACATCCACCAACACCAACAGGAACAACTGTACAGGGGCAAGCTCTTAAATGTCCTCAACAACAAACAAAACGATGTTGGAAAAGATGCACAAAGTGTTGGATATCTCTTTGGTAAAATTCTATTTCAAAAGCAATGAATATTTTCTCACACAGAAACACAGAACCCCAAACAGAAGCACTAAGGCCCTGGAAACAACAGGACAGGTCTATTACACAATTTATGAGCTGTTAAACTCAATTTTAGAGGGTCTCAGCTACTAGTATGGTCAGTGTGTGGTTTAAAGGAGCAGAAATACTTTTGGCTGATCTTGTGTTATAGATTATATCAAACAAGAGAATTTGGGTGAGAAAGCCAACAGCAACAAAACTATCCACTACTATTCCCTATTCACTACTGCTTATCCACAGGAAGCAGGAAGAAAGGCTTAGACAGATCATATCACCTGCAGTCTAAAAAGGACTGCAGTAATGAGCATTAAGGAAGTACAAAATAACATCAGGATTTTGATTTTTCTGTTGTGCAAAATAGAGAATTTTATGGCCTCTTCCTCCAATATGGGATAAAGAAAAATTTCCAACACAAATATAACTGTCCATCCCTTATATAGGTATCTATTACGTTAGCCAAAGCAAAATTAAAGCTTTGTTTTTGGCCTCCTCCACAAGAAAATAAACCCTGAAGGCTGGTGATTTTTTCCCTAATTAGAATATAAAAATAATACCACCAAAAGTTGAGCATCACACAAGGTTGTTGAGATGAGAATATACTGCAATATTACTATCCAGGTGTTTCAAAGATCTTGTGAAGCACCACCACTTCCAAACTGAAATTTTACACAGATACAGAGAATCAAGTAGGGAACAAAATTATTTTATATAAAGTGAATCCATAATTATTATGCATGCTTGCTCTACTGATAAACCCTTAAAGCTCAACTGCAGCAACATCAAGCAAACACAGACTAATTCTTCTCCAGTGCAGACTGTCAAATGCACTGATTGAGATTAATAAACTAATAGAAGATATCTAACGTTATTGAACTGTCCACATTTTAAAATGATGCAGAGATATATAAAAATAAAGGCTGACATTTATAAATACATATACATTGTATGAATTAACAACTTCTCCTAGGTGTATCCTTGTTATTCTAATACCTGCTAATTCAAACGTTTGCTAGATAGAGGCCAGTTATGGATGTGTTTCATATACAAATAGCTACATCATTCAACACCTCAGAGCAATAGCACTTGTAACTTACGTAGATCAAATAAGAATTTCTATACAGTTGGCTTCTAGTCAGTTTACATTCTCCGTATGCATTTAAGTGACATGCTTTGAATATGGTATGCTGTTGTTTGACTTGGCATATACTTGTTTTTACAAAATACAGTTTTCGGCGCTCAGATTTAATACAAAACTCCCTTTTTTCCTTTAAATCACCGTAAGCTAGTGTCATCTGTATTGCTGTCACTGAAAAATTCAGTAACTGGAAGTCTGGGGATATTTACTTGCTTTCACAGGGCATTTAAAATAATTATCAAGCAAACTGAATTTAGCACTAAGTTCTTCTCATATTTCATATGACACATTCCTTTAGTTTGACACTATGATTTCAGTTTATCAATGTTTCTTCAAATGATTTCACTTCTTCAGAAATACACTTCTATTGTATTTTACCAGTGAGGCCTGTTGCCCTGTAACACTGCTGCCATTTAGAAGAACTCTCACCAAATGCCCAGCACTTACCTTGCTTTTCTCTTGTTGAAATTCTATCTGGATGTTGGTTAGTTTAGTCCGCAGCTCTTCATTAGCAGCTTGTAGTGCTTCAATCTCCATGTCGCACTTCTCCCCCTTGGCACGACTTTTCTTTGACATAATTATTTTTGAAGTTCAAAATAAAAGTTTTTGCTCCACGCTGAGCTATCAGCTAGGGGCCTCCTGCTTTTAGCATTTAAGAGTCATATAGTACTCAATATTCTTCACATAAAGCTCTGCCATCGTGGTTGCTGTCCCTCACATCCTGAAAGAAGCAAAATAGCCAGAAAAGAAGTATGAATTTACACCAGTAAGCAAAATGGATTATCACAAAATATAAAAAAGTTGCAAAAACAAGAATTAAGTTCATCCAGTCTTAAAGCACCTTAAACTTCCTTGTGGTAGGTACTATATTGCACAGTGTAGCAGACTTCAAAAGAAAATGATCAGACATTTCACAATATTTTATCAACATCTAAAAATATCTAATGGATCCTATGCCCCCAGGAACAAACTGGTTTGCTGTCATGATGAATAAAATACATTAGCATAAATCATATCTTATTCAGGACCTGACTATTCTTACGATTCCCAAGAGGTACTGAGACAATCCTGGATTGAGACTTGTGGGGATTTGATGGGAATATTTTAATTCTGGTACTAAGGAGTAAGCACCTCTCACCTAAAGCTACTGCCTATGATATATTATCCAAAATTATCATAGAAGCACATTAAGAAATGCAGAAATGGTCTTAGAAAACATTGATTTTTTTTTCCTTTTTTTAACTTAAAGGTTAATCTTGTTTCAAACACTCTAACCAAAACATTAAGTTACTTAACTTCATTTTCATTCCACAGTTGCTGTCTAAACTTAAAATGTATTCAATTATTAAAATCAGCTTTATTTAATATTCAAAGTGAATATCAATAGCAAAGAACCTTAGTTCCAATCATCAGGAAATCAGAAAATTAGTTTGCTTCAACTTACAGAAGCTTAATCTGTTTTTTTTCTTCCTCATTGCTCCCCTCTGAGAATAACTCCAAAGGAAAAAACTGTTCTTCCAATGCTGAATGCTGAAATGGCTTCCAAATCCATTTCCTCTTCTCATTTTAAATATCTAACTATCTTTAATCATTAAATTCCTGAAAAAGCAAAGAGGTTCCTACTTTTGACTTTTACATTTATTAAGTATGAGGCTCTGTGCTTCTGCAGGCAAATATTACTTGGTGAGTTCAACTATATCTCTGGACAGCTAAAAGGAAAAATAATGCAGATGTGCAGTTCTAGTATCTAATAATTTCACATCATTCAGAATGGTCTATGAGGAATTAAGTGGTCCTTAGCTCAA